TGTACCCCCACCTCCTCCCGACGTTGTCGATGGGGTTGATCTTTATGAGGTTGGGGAAGTGTTGAACATTAAACAACGCCGCAAGGACCTTCGATATTATATCCAATGGAGGAATGCACTTGGGAACCACAACATCATCTTTTGGGTGCAGACAACGCCATGGCACCTTACTACAAGAGAAACCCGTGGGCACCACGAGAAATACCGGATGGCAAAGGCGGTTGGAAACTGGACAAACCCCCCTCGAGGTCAAAAAAGAAGACAGCTTGATGCTTCGAGACGAAGCATCCCTAGAGGGGGGTAATGTCATGATTTGCCTCTTTTCACTCCTTCTCAACAAACCAGTAATAGTGAGAGAGCATACACTTCAGATCAGAGTCATCAAACTCTTCAAAGTGTTCCAGGATACTGGAAGTGAGTGTGTCCAGATTGGAAATTGAATATGTCGGTGAGTTGAGGCATTCAATAATGAAATGGGCCTCCAGGCGATGGTCACGAGGGTATGGAAGGACATTACGGATATGTTGAATGAGAGGAGTAGCTCCTTGCCCAATGTGTCGACTAAGGTTATTCAGATAGCATGTGCAATAAATGCTATTCACTAGGTCTGCATGACCCTGTTTCAATCCATTCTGAATGACATTCTGTATGTTTGAGTAGTTTGATGACACTCGAACAACTGTGCTAGAACTTGATTGATTTCCTTGATATTCCATGTAGAATTCAAGTAATTCCTGGAAATGTTTGAGAAGAGGTCGAATGAGGTGATCCCCAGGTGGCTGGATCTTCTGCATATACTCTCTGATAGGGACCAGTGCTTTCAGCCGCTTGTGTTCATCACTATAGGCCAGGCTGGTACAAATCAATGCTGCTTTGCAACCCAGGATATTATCCAGTGGGAGCTTGCTCTGCACCAGCTCAACATTTGAAAGACCATCAGGGAGCATTGACAGGAGGCTCAGGAGATTATTTGAATGCGGGAAGGTATTGAGTCTAGGACTTGACAAGGACAATGAAATTGACAAGTCTAAGTTGGATGTTCTGTCATATCCATCTGAGATCAAGGATGTTTTCTCCTCCTCCCAGTGGGATAATACATGGGAGCAGCCCTCAGAGTCAACCAAATGAGCTATGAGACTGATTGCAAGGGGCATATTGTCTGTCAGAGAGAGGACCTTGTCAACCTCTTTTGGATCATGTGTGTTGTCTGCAATATCTATGAATGTTTGTCGTGCTGCTGCTTTTTCCAAGGGCTTCAACAGGGGCAGAAATGGATGAGTCCATGCCACTTTAGCTGGCCTTTCTGCTCCTCGCATTGTGATCTAATTGGTATAAGTTGAAAGCATGGATGAAAAAATTCTTGGAGACCTACCAACAAAGCCAGATGGCCCAGACCAGTGAGCAATGACAGGAACTCTTCAATATTGCCTCGAGACTCGGCAGGCTCCCACAATGTCTCAAGATTATCCAGAATCAGGAGACTGTTTGAGCTGCTGGAGAAGTATTGGATGACTGGGTGTGTAAGGTCTTTTCCAGGCTTCAGTCCAACATGAGCTCCTATAAGAGCAGCAAGTTCTACTTGGGTTGCTGCTGCATCACAAGCAATGAAGAATCGCTGCTGATTATATCTCTGAGTAATTTCTGTATGATGGATGACAGCTCTTGCAAGACTGGTCTTTCCCATTCCACCTGCACCCAAGATTGCTATCTTAGGTGTTCCTTGACTGAAAAGTTGCAGAATGTCTGAAAGCTCTGAGTCTCGTCCATGGAATATCTTGGGCTGTGATGGCAGCATGGAGATTGAATTGGAGCTTGAATATATGTCAGATACAAGAGCTACCATTGAGAGCTGATAGAAACTGACCTGTTATGAGAGCCCGAATAAAGCCCACTGATCTGTGCAACATTCATTACTTGATTCTCTTAGAGAAGTGGAATTCATGTACAGAGGATGCTCTATCTGAACTGGTTGTGTCTGACAGAGCTTCAATCATGTCAAGCACTTCTTTGTGTCGCTTTTCTGCATCTTTTTGCATCTGTGTAGTGTCCTCAATGTGATTGACCATTGGGACCTACATATCACATTCTTCAACGAGTGGCTGAAATACCAAACAAATGTCGCACCTTGAAAATCTCCAGTCCTTGTTGCAATCCTGCCCTGCAATCCTTGAGCAGTTTGCTCATCTCACCTTGATGGAAGAAATTCTTGATTATGCTACCATTCTGTTGAGCTTCAACAAATGTGTGGATCTTCTGGAGGGTCCTGGCAACAGTCATCAATACGAAGGGGTTTTTTTTCTTCTAAGTGGAGTAACATACTCTGTGAACCTTCCGATGTGAGTCAACACACTTGGTGGCAATTCCGCTCCAGTGTCAGAATTGATGTGAACCATCAGAATTCCCTTCAACAACTCATAAGTTTGCTCCAATAATTGGGTGCAGTCATTCTTATTTTGTCTAACAGTCTGTCATGTTGGTTGAGATTCATGGTTGTGGCAGATTCAGCGGTAATGTACCTGTATTTTTTTCGACAGGGACTGAGTTGTGTTGGAGATGGCTGCCAAGAAGGGGCTCTTCAGGCTGCCGGTAAGGATTTCCAGAGTATTTGCAGTGATAGTCAAACATGCTGCAATGTTGTTGAGTCAAATTTGAGTGACAGTGGGTTGGGGGGGCATCTTGGTGGTGGATCATGGGTGTGCGAGACATGTGGATATTTATCCTGTGTGCCCACATGACTTTTACTTTCATTGGCTACTGTTCATCTCCCGCACAGAAGATGTGATGCTCACATCTGGTGTAGAGCTTGATCACATCAAATGGTACTATTGAATGAGCAGATGAGAGATCTAGAAAAAATGTCTGGGCTCCAACTGAGAAGCTTGTTTGATAGAGGGCTCTGCTGTATTGCTATGATACCGTGATAGCTTCCCATGCACTGTCAATGCACATGATGGTCTAAGCAGGGTACAGATGCATGGTGTAAATGGACAGAGCATATGACCATAGCAACCTCAAATCAACTTTGGCCTCACCTCAGCTGCCTGATTTGAGCATCTCAGGGAAAGGAGCAGCCTATTGGTAACTTTTCTGTCGTCGCTAAATCAGCAGTTTGAATCTGAATTATCTGATTGCTGAGAACTGTTCCAGAAATTCATGAAAAGACAGACCAACGGTGATCAAGACATACAGTGGTGACGAAATGTTCTGCACACGGTGGTTTGGGCTGATTTCTGGCCCGAATCACTTCAAATAAATTGTACTCTATTCAGCAGTTATGGTTATGGAAAAGGGCTCTTCAACGTTGTTACATGTTTGAGCTGGTGTTGAAATTGGATTTGGATTTGGATATTAATAATTTTGGGTTGTGTGCAAGTTCGGTTTTTTCTCAGGTAGTCTAGTGTATGGTACACAGCTGTAATCACTGAGCAGCAAAATCCTTAGTTGATGCAGCAGACTCGGTTTCGATTCCCGGCACCCGCATATTATGATTTGTTGTTTCTTTTGTTGGCTTCCCTTCCCCCTCTGTTCAGTCTGTTATCCAGCCAATTCAATCAATAATTTCACCATGCTATGTTCAAGAAACGGTTTAAGATTGATGAGACTATTGAATTCAAGACAAAATGATTTGGATTGAGGGAAGACTCAAACTTTACATAATTCCACTTTTAGTGTATACCTTACCGTAGAAGGAGGATGAAGTGGGTGTGGCGTATGGAACATGGCTGTGATTCTTAAGTCACAAATCACACTTGATGCCGCAGACCCGGGCTCGATTCCCGGCACCTGCATTCTTCATTCTGAGCTTTATTTATTTTTTCTTTTAATGGTCCTCACTTCCCCGCGCCCACGGTTCGATTTATCCAGCCAATTTAACCAATGCTTTCCAGCATGGTATGGAGCAGTTTAAAGAAACGGTTGAAATTGACAAAATGATATTAATTTGATCTGGGCAGACTGAGACCCAACTTAATTCCACTTTTGTGTAGTTTAGCCAGCCTCGTATATGAACCGGAAATGCGGGTGTGGTGTATGGAACACTGCTACCATAAATGCTATTCCAATTTATGCAGCCCAACGAGGTTCGATTCCTGGCACCCGCATGTGCCGTGACAGCTGTGTTTTTCTTTTCTTTTTTGTGGCATCTACACCGTCTGATCAGCTTTATCCAGACAATTCAACCAAAGCACTTTTAGGCCACGGAGGAGCATTCGTTAGTGTCACAGGACGTCGGACTTGGAATTGGATGAAATAATACAGTTTGGAGGCCGGACTAGGCTCAGTTTAATTCGAATTTCGAGCTTTTCTTATGTAGTCTAGCCAAGGTCGTAGAGGGACATAAAAAGTGGGTGTGGTGTATGGTACACCGCTGGCCGGCATTCGCTTAGAGGAGTTGTGTAATGCACCAGACCTGGGTTCGATTCCCGGCACCTGCATAGCATTGATTGATTTTTTTTTTTTTTTGCCCGTCCACCGTCTGATCCTGTTTACAGCCAATTCTAACCAAAGATTTCAGTAGGCTATAGAGAACTCTTCTACACTTGAGAGATGCCATGTTCGAGAGGGTACGAATTCCAGTAGGATTTCCGAATTTGGAGGCCGGAATAATATTCCCATTTTCTGTGTATGCCTTACCCAAGTTCGTAGATAAGCAGAGAAAGTGGGTGTGGTGTATGGTACACGATTGTAATCATTATGATCTCTATGGCATTTCGTTTGATGCAGCAGATCCGGGTTCGATTCCCGGCACCCGCATTTGCGAAAAGGCCCTCCTTTTTTGTTTTTGTTTTGCCGCCCTTTGTTCACAGCCAATTCAACCACGATTTTCCAGGAGGTTATGGAGGGTGCTTATTGATGCTGGAGGATGTTTGAGAGGGTGTTTGCATTGGAATTGGAATCCAAGTTGGACGGAATAATTTGGAGTGTGAAGCCGGACTCCAACTCGGAATGCTATTCCCATTTTCTGTGTATACTTTCACCAGGTTCGTAGATAGGCAAGGAAAGTGGGTGTGGTGTATGGAACACAGCTGCTGTGCTTATGCGCTCAACCATTTTGTGTAGCAGACCCGGGTTCGAATCCCGGCACCCGCATACGGGAATAAGCCATCATTTTTTGTTTTGTTTTGCCGCCCTGTGTTCACAGCCAATTCAACCAAGATCTTTAGGAGGTTATGGAGGTGCGCTTCGATCGGATGCTGGAGGAGGGTGTTGACATTGGAATTGGAATCCAAGTTGGACAAAATAATTTGGAGTGCGATGCTAACCTTGAAATCATCATAGTTTTGGGCTTTTCTTATGTAGTCTAGCCAAATTCATAAATGGGCAGAGAAAGCGGGTGTGGTGTATGGAACATAGTTGGTGTTCATTATTTTATCGAGAACCAGTTGATGCAGCAGACTCGGGTTCGATTCCCGGCACCCGCATTCTTGTAGAGGACTTTGGTTTTTCCCCTCCTTTTCCCCTCCTTTTCTTCTTTTCTTTTTGCTCCCCTTTCTCTGCTCACCCTTTCATCCTGTCCAATCAAGGTTTTTGCAGGCTGTGGAGGAGACGCGCAGGATGTTCAAGAAATGGTTCAAATTCAAGTAAGATTTGGACAAATTGCGAGGGCGGACTTCAACTCGGAATAATATTCCCACTTTCTGTGTATGCCTTACCCAAGTTCGTAGATAGGCAGAGAAAGTGAGTGTGGTGTATAGCACACGGCTGCAATCATTATGATTTTTATGGCGCTTCGTTTGATGCAGCAGACCCGGGTTCGATTCCCGGCACCCTTTTCTCTTTTCTTTTTGCCCCCTCGCCCTCTGCTTAACAGACTGTCTATCCAGCCAAATTCAACGGAAGTTTTCAGCAGGCTGTGGAGGGACTTCATGTTCAAGAAACGGTTCATGATTGATGAGACTATTGAATTCAAGACAAAATGATTTGGATTGAGGGAAGACTCGGACTCGGACTCGGACTCTCAGAACTGCTCTGTAGTCTAGCCAGGTCCATGAATAGAGAAGAAAAGTGGGTGTGGTGTATGATACACAGCTGCCATTCATGTTGTGGTGCCATTGCATTGATGCTTTGATACTTGACGTGGGTGAGATTGATCCTAGCAATAGGCGTGGATCAAAGGCGCGCGGCGAGAAGACAAAGAACGTGCCCTATTGTCCGAGTCTGCTGTTCATCAATCCAACTGTCTACCAAAAGAAAAAAGAGCTTGAGAATATATATATGAGCCGAAAATACAAACCACAGAAGATCAAGGACGCGGGAAGGATCCGTTAGATGGTGGTATGAATAAAGGAATTAATTGTACGGCATCCCGCCAATGACCAGGCTCCGAGACCAGAACCGAAGACCATAGCGGGAGTATTCTCCATGTGAGTCGCGATGCCCCAGATGGGTGATACTGATCGACTTGCATCTGTGCCTTGTCTGCGTGACATGTGACTTGTGACGTGACGCCCCACTGCTCGCTCGCTCACTGGTCTCTTGTGTGTATGGAGACAGGGAACGACTCGCCGCCTCTGCGCACAACAATCCTCGGCTCATTCCTCGGCCGCGGCCGTCCCCGTAACTCTTCCCAGTCACACATTGACATCCCCCGCGAGCTCTCCCCGTCCCCGCCCCATCCCCACACCCACGCAAACGCACAACCCACCTCACCGAATCCATACAATATGATCGTGCAAGGCGGCGGTGGACCCGGCGGAGGCGCACCGGGACGGAGTCACAGAGGGCGCGCCGCGCCGTCCCCAACGACAAACCCGCCGTCCGCGACACCCGCGGGCCTGAGTCTGGGGCACATGCTCCGCCGACGACGCAGTGCTGGGAACATCCCGCAGCAGCAGCAGGGCCACGCGGGGCCCGCGCCGATGGTCCCGCCGACGCCGGGCGGGCGCGCGCCGGCGCCGATGAGTGCGGCGATTGCAAGCTCGGGGCTCGTCGCTGCGAATGGGAACGCCAACTCGAATACGAATGGCAATGGAGGAGGAGGGAACGGCCCCTCGCACCGCATCCGCCTCGTCCCGCACCTCGACTCCCGCAGGTCGCTCCGCCCTGCGCATCGGGCGCTTCACAGACAGGTCGAGCCTGGGACTCGCGGCGGTGAACGCACTGAGCACGAACAAGATTGCGTTCAAGAGCAAGGTTGTGAGTCGGGTGCATGCGGAGGTGTGGATCGAGGATGCTGGTGCAAGTGGGGGAGCAGGCGGAGGAGCAGGCGTACCGAAGTTCTTCATACAGGACACGAAGAGCAGCAGTGGGACGTTCTTGAAACGTGTGCGGCTTATTTCGGCGAATACGGAAGAGGTAAGTGTCGAGTTTCCACGAACGGAGCTTGGGCTGATTTTTTGTCTGTATTTTTTTCTTTGCGTTTGGTTACTGTTCCGCCGACGCCCGTCATTCTACACCGATGCTCGTCGTCGTCCACCCATCGATCCTGCATCGCGCCGCATTACTTTATTTTATTTCCTCCCCTCTTCCTATCCCATACGCATACGCATACTTATACATCCACCCATACGTCCATCCATTTATCCTCGCGCATTCAGCCACCCTGAGATGGCAGCTGTCTACTACCCACGTCGTCTCTATTTACACACATCGCTCCTCCTTTCCCCTCTTCTCTCCCACCCTTTCCCTTTACACTGTTTTACACCCTCCCTCTTACCCCCCCTCATGCTCGCTAACACCCACTGCTGCCCACCCACAGCCCTCTTCCCCGTCTCAATCCGCCAGGCACTCTTCATCGCCCTACTCGCACGCATTTCGCTACAAGTGTCTGCGCCCGCATCATCCGGGGTTCAGGTGGGTTCTTCGGTTCTGCGACACTTCTGTGTGGCGTTTGGGGCTTTTTGGGGGAGATTTTGGGTTTTCTTTGGTTTTTTATGGCGGGGGAGAGGAGATGGGGAGCGGACGTCGCGAGGAGAGACAGGTGAGACGGACCAGGCTGCGTTGCGTTGCAGGGATGCGCAGTGACTCGCGCTGCGCATTGCAGCCGAACTGTGGCGGCGCGAGTGTGCAGAGGAAGAGTGCCTGTGCAGAAGGACGCTGGGCCGAGTACGCGGCCGGTGTGGGGAGACGCACGAACCGCGCGACCTGAGCTTAGCAGGCGGTTCCCGTGGAAGAGAGCGTGATGGGCGGCTGTTGAGCCTTGATATTTTCGTCGCATTTGTGCGGGGTACGCGCGCTGCGCATTGCAGGCGAAGCGCGAAGGCGGGGGCGGGTGTCCTCGTCCTCTTCGCACGTTCGTTGTGCTGGACGGAGGGCGTCTCGGGGGGTGCACGACGAGGACGTGTGAGGACGCAGAGGCGGAGGTGGGCGTCCTCTGCGTACGTGACGTGTACGCGGAGGACCTCCATGCACAAAAGTTCCGAGATGGTCCGACCCCAAGCAAGCAGGCACAGGAGGTGCAGCCGGCGTGGAGGGAGTACGCTGACGACGCGTGTTGTTACGACAGCGGGGGCGGGGGTCGCTTGTCATGGTTCGTGGTATGGCGTAGTATGCACACACATTCAACCAATGCACATTTATTGATGCCCCGCAAGATCGGCTTGCTTGCCTTCCCAGAACTCCAACCGAAATGTATGGTATTTATTCGGCCTAGGTTGGGCAGGAAAAACCATCGTGTATCGTGGTGATCACCCACACTCATTAAGTTCGCAACAGAATGTCTTATACATTGTCTTTTTACGCTCCCAGCTCATTTTCGGATTCCCCCAGGTCGCAATTCCAGAATTGGATACTCCTAGCTGAAAGAACCAACTTGAACGTTCGAAAACGAATGAGTGATTGAACAATCCCATGTAGTGTTCTTGGATTCATGAGCGCTTTATCTATCAAGGTGATGCCACCAGCGCTCAACAGCTTGAGCGCACTTCAACCTACCAGCATGGTCAGGTCGATCTACTTCTCGGATTATATGATGATTTACTGATGTTGCATGCATACCAACATCCATCGGTCCTTGCTCTCAATTCAATTTGTAACTGGTCAGTGTTCAAAGTCCTTCGATTGCGTTGGTGATTTATTGACATTGTGTTTACCCCAGAATCCTTCGTTCTTCGCTTTTTACTTCCGGGGTCAATTGCAATTGGTGTGTGCTATACCCAAATAAATTTGCATGTACTAACTTTCCGTTACGGACCTCATCTATGCCCCGCCATGAGCAATGCATATGATCATTCCGCGCCCTCGACGCACCTGCCGCCCACTCTTGAACCGCATCAGAAGGTCTGCACAAATCGGGGCGAACGCACCATATTCGGCGTTCAGGTCGCTCATGTCGCTTCCTGCGCAACGATATCGTGGAAGATCCCTTTCCTATTACCTTCCCGGTCCGCCGCCCCTCTTCTTTCGCCATGCGGGAAGGTAGGTCATCATGCTTTTGCGGTCCTACACAACGTTTCCACCTTCGCTTCCGCAACATTCCCCGGTCTTCTTCAACTCATGCGCGTATTCAAGATGTTGTTTCTTACTTTTACATCAATAATTTTCACTGGTTTAATTTAGGTTCTCATCGCCGCCAGCTTAACACAAACGATGCTGTACATGATAACACACGGGACGTTATAGCCTCATTTCACCGCGTTCGCGACGTGTAGGGCCGTACAACATGCGAGGTACGAGCACCAAAAGTGTTGTAGCATCTGTTTATAAGAGACTAGGGCCGTACGCAAACTCTCCATTCAACTCCACGGGACTTCGGTATAATATAGCAGGCTCTCTACCATCTCCAGTTCCTCTAGCCTATTTTCTAGACTTCACACATTGCTGCCCTTGAAATTGAAATTCTCGCACTCCCGCGGGGCCGCCATTGCGTGGGCGCGACCGTTGATGCACTTTAACAACTTTGTAGATATTGCTCATGATTTTGAAGGTCCCGCGAGCAGACACGACAAGGATGCGTTTCTGGTAGGCCTCCCTACAATGTTACAAATGTCGTTCAATACGCACATATACCAAGAGTCAGTGATGGACGCCGCGGACGCGTCCCCACGCTTGCGATTTCCGACGTACCTGAGGATTGCCGACATCTCGTCTGAAGTTTTGAAGTTGCAAGGGACAGAATGTGTTTTAATCGCGTGGCCCGCGGTATTATACGCCACTACATAGCTAATAACCTAAGGTTTCATCCTTGGAGCTCCATGAGCGTTGTAAGTATTTCGATTTCCCATGTGCTCGCACTCAAACTCACATACAAGTTGGTTGATAGTGTTACAGTTTTCATCGCTATCCGATTCAAGCCCTGGCCACTATTTTTTGTGAAATATGTTTATTTCTCCTCCATTTTCCAGTGTTCTCCTCGTCGATGCCTCAGCTGCTTGAGTTTGCAAACCGACGAAAATGGTAATTTATTGTTTTTGTACGTACTAGATACCATGCGTGAATGAATGACCTTGAATATATTTGCGCTGTACATTGAGTTATGTTTCAA